TACTTCATGTAAAATATAGAAAACTTGCAATTTATTCCAAGGGTGGCTCAGTCAGTTGAGCGTTGGACTCTTGATTTTGACTCAGGTCATGATCTTGGGGTTTGGGGATCAAGCCCTGTGTTGGGCTCAGCACTGAATGTGGAGCCTGCATAAGATTCTTTTTCTCCCACTCAATCTGTTCCTTCCCCACTCGCATGCACATGTTCTCTCTTTCAATTAAAAAATAAAATAAACCATCAGTGTTTAAACTAAAAGCAAAATAGTTAATGTTTTATTTATTTTTGAGAGACAGACAGACTGCAAGCAGGGGAGGGCAGCGAGAGAGGGAGACACAGATCCGAAGCAGGCTCCAGGCTCTGAGCTGTCAGCACAGAGCCCCACACGGCGCTTGAACCCACAAACCGTGAGATCATGACCTGAGCCGAAGTCAGACACTCAACTGACTGGGCCACCCAGGTGCTCCAAGAACTGTTTTTTTTGTTTTATTGTTTGTTTGTTTTTAAAAATATTTTCCTAGGTATTTACCATTTCCAGTGCTTGCTCTTCCTTCCTCAAGATGCACATTTTCTTTTGGTGTCACTTCTCTTCAACTTGAACTTTCTTTACTATTCTACTCCTCACAAATATGAATAGCTTTCCTATAAATGCAAGTATCTTTCAGTCTTGAAGTATATATTCTCCTGGGATATAGAATTCTGGTTGTCAGTGTTTCTCTTCCTCCTGGGGACTTTAAAGACGATATCATCGGGCCAAAGAGACCGCTGACCCAGGAGTTTTTAGCAGCTTGGTGCAGCACCACTCCTGAAGCCTGCCCTCAGGCCCCGGCCATTCTTGTCCTAGAAATTCCACCCCTGCTGTGTCTCCAGAACCTGCCTCCTTTGTTCATTATCCAGGGCCTCCAACTAGTTGCTTTTATATTTTGTTCAGAGTTTACAGTTACTATCTGGGGAGAATGGTCTCTTGGAAGCTTACTTGGCCATACCAGTAGAACCCCAGAACTCATGTTTTAAATCTCTTTCCTACGCTGCTTCCCTAAATATTCAATGAATATTGAATAAGTCAATTCATGATATCTGTTTTATTACATTTGTTATTTACAACAGTAAACATACTATTTACAATAGTAGTATGTTGAAGGGCAAAAGGATGGTGTCAGTGGAGAGAGAGTTTCTCTATGAAGTGCTGTTTGCTTTGACTTCTGCACAGCCACTTCTTCCATGTTCTCTTCTTTTAATTCCCTGGCTAATCTTCTCCAGCTTCCTTTTGGGACCTCTCTGTTGTTTCTCTTCTAAACACTAGTTTCAACCCTATCTCCATTTTTTTTTTTTAACATCTCTTCCAGATTCCCCAGGTGATTTCAACAATCTACCTGATTTCAAGTATCACTTCAATGTAGATCGCTTTTACTTCAAAATCTTCAGAATTACAGCTCTCGAGTTCTTCATCAATATCTTCCAGCTACTAGAAATCGCAACTGCGTGTCTAGCACACCTTGTGGATTCTCCACTCCCTTTCAGCCCTTAACTTTTTTCCTTTCCTTCCTTTCATTTAGTTCTTCATGAAATCAATACATCTTTATTGAGTGCCACATATTGCTTTTAATGTTACAGATTTAGTCTCGAGGGAAAACAGTCTCTGTCCTTTAGGATTTAAATTTCTTATTTTGTGTTTTTTAAATTTTTTAGAGAGAAGGAGAGCATGTGAGTAGGGGAGACGGAGAGAGAAGGAGAGAGACAGAGAATCCCAAGCAGGCTCTATGCCCAATGCGGAGCCTGAAGTGGGGCTCAGTCTCACAATTGTGAGATCATGACTTGAGCTGAAATCAAGAGTCGGACCCTTAACTGACTGAGCCACCCAGGTGCCCCTGCCTTTCTGGATTTAAACTTGAGAGAGTGACAGGCTGTAAACTAATAACTATATAGAGGTAGATTTAAGGATAAAATTGCTTTTCTTGAAAGGCTTATCAGAGGTTTCTCCGAGGCACTGACGTTTATGAAGAAATTTGATTAAAGCATTTCCCCATCACCTTTGTTGATGCAGAGCCACACTTGGCCAAATAACCCACTCAAGAATCAGACTGTCCTCTTAAATTCAATCTGCTTTCTTGTTTGTCACACCTAAAACTTTAAAAGCTTCTCATATATATTTTAACTCCTAGACAAATCTCTTTTTCAGCTCCAAGTTTCCATCTCAACTACTATTATTAAGGCCCATCTCTTCCTTCGAATTGTAATCGTTTCTTTAAAGGTGTTCCGGCCTCCAGACTGATACTTTTCCACTCTCTCTCCCACGCTGGTACCAGAATGGGCTTTATTAAACAAAACACAGTTCATGTTACCACTTCAAAATAATTTACTGGCTCCACAATCTACTTTATACTCTTTGTGTTATATATTCTTTGTGTTAAAGGCTGTTTAATAAAAAATCTTTGTGTTAAACGATCTGACCCCTGATCCTATGTGTTTGTCTTTATCACTTACCCTCCCTTATACCCCATTTCTTATTCTTCCACAGGTGTGGCAGACTATCTTGCATCCGTTTTCTATGCTTTTTTTTCCTTCTTCTCAGCTAGCTACCTCTCTTAGAAGTGCATCGTCGTCATCATCCCCTCTTCACGGACCACTTGGAAACCTTTTAAGACCGCATTTCAAACAAGCTCTTAAGTGATGTTAATGCTGCTGGCCCACTGCCTTACTGTGAGTTACAAGGGAATAGATGACTTTAAGATTCTCTTGACCCCAAACCAAAAGAAATGATGGTTTCCGTATGTCCTTGAGCACTGTCTTTCCCTTTGTGGATTTCTCTTCTCCCCTTTCACTTGCACCCACTCATCCCTTGAGATTTTGCTTGTTTGTGCTCTCGGTTTTTAAAAAGCAGACTCGACTACCAATGTGGGGCTTGAACTCACAACCCTGAGATCAAGGGTCACATGAACTACCAGTTGAGCCATGCACCCCAGCTTTTTGTGCTCTCTGAATTGGACATTCCAGTGAACTGCAACTGCTGCTTTATTTCCTCCCAACTTGATTGACGAATTTAAATAAATGATGTTCATAAAATTGTCCCTTGATCTTTGAGATGTTCTGTTATTAGCACCATGCCTTGCCGCAAAGTAGATGATAAGCCAGTGTACAGGTGATAAAAGAGTTTAGATTAAAAACTTATCAACCTAAATGCAAAGCTTACTTATGAAGAAAAAGAAACTCTTTTCATGCCTTTTTATTAGCAGAGTGCTTAGTTTTCATTCCTTCCATTTCCTCATCTATATCCATCACATCTACACCATAATTTTCCCCTTTGCCTTATGATTATCTAATAGTCCTTCACCACTTAATCGGGATCAAGTGAATTTTTGCATCTAACTTCTAACTTTTAGAAAAAAGGATTTCTCAAATATCTTTCGATTCATAAGTGGAAAATACTTCTTCCTTAAGACTGCATGAGAAGCATTCAATTATTTTTATAACAGCTGTTAAACCTGAAACAAAATCTCTTAAAAAATCTTCAAAAGGTATAACTTATTTTCCCCCGGTGTTAAATATGATGGCTGCATTTCGGAAGCATCCTTAGGTAATATACACACAATAGGCACAGAAATCTTTTATTATTCATTTTATTTTCATATAAATTAACATCCTAGAAAAATTGAAATAGAAACACTAAATACAGTATTGCACATAGCGATCTTGGTTAAATGCCCTATTATTTCAGTGAAGAATGGCAATATCCACATTGGAGGGACTGAAGGAGACAGGAAGACTAGAAAACAACAAACCAAACCCACTACTGTTTCTTTGCACTTAAACTATAAACTAAAAGGTCAAAGACCATACTTTACATAAATGCAAACATAGTTATGATTCAGAACATTTTCTTTTTTAAGTCTTTCCATAATTGATTTCCGAGAGCAAGAAATTCTCCCCTTTATCAACATCCATAAGCCCCAACAAATATCACTGAAAGAATTAGAAAAAAAAAATCCACCTATTAATGTTAGACCAAGCCATCACAATGCATCTTGAGCTGACTTTAAAATACTCTCACAAAGAGTGGGAGATTTGCTATTCCTCCCCCTTAAAGTGAAATAAAATAAAATCCTTTTCCTAGGCTCCTTCAGGTAAAAAATCATTACATACTCATTTTACAGCTTTAAATCACCTGCTATAACACATAGAGATGATTCCAATCATGTAAAAATACTCAGGCAGGTACGTTAATTAACAGACGCCAATTCATCTGAAAACTTACTTTTTTTTGCCAACAATTAATCATGTTTGGCAATTTTATGAACATCATTTATTTAAATTCCTTCAAAATACTGAGTCATATTTTCTTTGTGAAGGCCAATGGTAACGTTATAGAGAGGCACACCTGAATTTACTTGAGCTGACGATGAGCTTTATGTAGGGTCTCAAAGAACATGGGCTGATAAAAGCCCTCATTAAACTTAAAACCCTGATTTCTGCCTATATTAAATGATTTCTAGGAAAGGGCTTTCCTTCTGTTATATTTTTTTCTATCCATTATCTGACTTGAGTAAAAAAATGATAATCTTCTTTCACAAATATATAGTTATGGAGAGCAACCCAAGAGTTGGGGAAGCCTTGATTATGATATATAAATGGTACTTAAGTTTTAAAATAGAAAATTTATATGTAGACATGAAACTGATACAAACAATTCACTAGAAATAACATTTTAGCCATAAATCTAAATGCAGTGGCACAGGGCACTGGTTGTCAGTAGAAAGGAAAAGTGTTTTGCTGGGGTAAGGAATGTTCTCACAAAAAGTAAACTGTAAGTTAACATTTAGCATGTTCAGCATTAATGCAAATATTGCCTCTTATACATGCTGTTTTGGTCTATCAATATTATACCATAAACTTTACAAAAAGAAAAGATGTCAAATTCTCCACTGGTCTACCACTTTTGCATTTTGATGAATGTACAGTAAAATTCAACAATTGGTGAACTGTCCAGAAAACACAAGGATTATGAACAAAATGGTAGAGTTTCCTTCCCACCCTCAGGTCAGCTGAATGTTGTGGAAGTGGTTGTGGGGACTGGTGTCCATTCTGCTTTTCATTCTTCAGGTTTTCATGCTTATCTTTGCTTTCTGAAAATAAATGCACCAGAGAAAAGGTATATAGTCAGAAATAAGAACTTTAAAAAATGCACGAAGTATAGAATAGCCCAAACAAGATCTTTTCATTTGGATTAAATTCTCTAGGAAGAGACTGAAGATTCACCAGCCCCTAGAGGAGGAAGATATAAGTAAAATCTGTCTTATCTGTAAGAATTTTCCCCAGCCAAATCACCGAATATTTTTGAGGGGAAAAAAAAAAGAGTTAAAAACTTAGCTTCTCACCAGTGAGAAAAAGTGCCAACTCCCCTTTCTTCTTCTCCATCCTAGGCACAAATATATAAAGATTGAACTGACGGTTTATTCTCTATTATCCTTATAAGAGCATGATTAGGTTGATTAATAACTATTCCTTCTAATTCAGAGCACCTTTAAGGTTGTACTCAGATCAAAAAAGCAGAAAATAACTTCAACTATAAGGTAATTGTCATTAGATAAGATTAATTTTGATATAGAGAAACTAAAGGGAAAATACATTTTAAATGGGGATGTAATTCCTAACTTTTTCTAAGCAGGGTTTAATCATATTCCAATTTGGGTTATTTTGATATCTTTTCCATTTTTTAAAAGTCATTTATTTTTAAGAGAGAGAGACAGAGTGCGTGAGTGAGGGAGGCAGAGAGAGAGGGACAGAAGATCCAAAGAGGGCTCCCCACTGACAGCAGAGCTCAACACAGGGCTTGAACTCATGAACCCCGAGATCATGACTTGAGCCAAAGTCAGGATGCTCATCTGACCATTTAGACTACATGAGACTATCCAATTCAAAATGTTCCTATTTTAAGGCCTAAACCAACTTTTCATTTAAAACAGCATCACTCAGGGCACCTGGGTGGTTCAGGCGGTTAAGCGTCCGACTTCGGCTCAGGTCATGATCTCATGGTTCATGGGTTCGAGCCCTGAGTTGGATTCTGTGCTGACAGCTAGCTCAGAGCCTGGAGACTGCTTCAGATTTTCTGTCTCCCCCTCTCTCTGGCCCTCCCCTGCTCATGCTGTCTCTCTCTCTCTCTCTCTCTCTCAGAAATATAAAAAAATTTTTTAATTTATAAAACCCCAAACAAACAGCATCACTTCCTTACTCTTGTGGTACCAAGTAATAAAACCTCAAAACATTTTTGGGGCGCCTGGGTGGCTTAGTCGGTTAAGCGTCCAACTTTTCGCTTAGGTCATGATCTCGCGGTTCGTGGGTTCGAGCCCCGCATCGGGCTCTGTGCTGACTGCCAGCTCAGAGCCTGGAGCCTATTTCAGAGTCTGTATCTCCCTCTCTCTCTGAACCTCCTCTGCTCACGCTGTCTCTCTCTCTCTCTCCTAGAAATAAATAAAAATATTAAAAAAAAAAAACCTCAAAACATTTTTAAAAATACTGAGTGCCACAAGGGAAAACGTGTGTGTGTGTGTGTGTGTGTGTGTGTGTGTGGTTTTTTTTTAATGTGTAAGCAGAGGAGGGGCAGAGAGAGGGAGACTGAGGATCTGAAGCTGGCTCTGTGCTGACAGCAGAGAGCCCAATGTGGGGCTCGAACTCATGAACCGAGAGATCATGACCTGAGCTGAAGTCAGATGCTTAACCTACTGAGTCTCCCGGGCATCCCAGAAAACTCATCATTTTTAACAAGCCCTGCCTCCCAGGGTATAAACTTGGTGTTTTAAAGAAAGAAGTGGGTAAGTAGGAACCTTAAATAAGCTTGTTAAACTCAGGCTACCGGCTGACAGCTGTTAGACAGTCAACTCTGTAGAGCCACTTTATGGGTACAAGCCAGGTCGGAGCCCCCGGTCTGAGCAAAGGGCACTACTAGTACTCAGCATTTCCCATCATCTTTTAGATCCCAATGGTGCTAACTCCCATCATAACAGCCACTCTGGGTTCAAACACAGCCCTGTACTGGTGACACATGGGTAATGGAGAAGGTGAAAAACTGCCCCCCAAATCTCACCAACACACACACATCCAGGTATACGCATTCCCTTAATTCTTAAGCTTTGAATATAGATACTGAGATTCTCTTCGCCTTTTGGGCCTGATTAAAGGCATAAAAAAAGGAGATTCTTCAAGTCAGAGCATATTATCCATTCATACTTAAGAGGAAAGTAATTCAAGTGTTATTACATAAGCTGGAATATATTGTGAAAATGGTGTTTAACAGCCAAAGAACATCACAAGTTAAAAAAGGGAAGAGTTAAATACTTACAATTCCAGAGTCATGTCGTGGTTTTATTTTATAAAGTGATTTTCCCTTTTTCTGCCTACACACCTCTTCAGCTTCTTTTACTCTGGGGGAGAGAAGACACGTATATTTAAACAAAGACCTTATGGCAGGTGAGCAAGGAACAACTCATTAGGAATTTGAATCATTGGAGAAAGTACCACACACACAGGAACATTATCTGACATTTGATTCAAAAACGTTGATCTAGAGGCTAATTCATTCACGGGTTCTCACCCTGGATTCAAAGGCTGTCGAATGGAATGATATACAAAACATGTGAACATTTTTATGTCTACATTTCATCCTATATTAAAGGAGTCCTTTGTAGAAGAAATTAAGGAAATATCTCTCACGTTCAGGTAAGGGCACTGAGACTGGCTCTAGGACATAAACACGATATTTATTTACGACATAAGTAGGACTGGCACCCTTCCACAAATCTGAAGCATTAAAATCAATCAATAAACAGTATTATATAAAAACTCATATGCCTAATTAAAATTATTTTAGATTCAATGTCCGCATCTGAAAGTCATTTGCAGTGAAAATTTCATCAAGCAATAGAACAAACCATTTATTTGAAAACAGAAAATAGAGTGCGCAATAATAATACTTTGACGCTTCTAGGAGTTCTTATTAAAAACACAGTCCAAGGAAAACAACGCTGAATTCACTAGAGCTATAGTTAAGAGAGGATGTTACTCAGATAAGTCCTCCATTAAGTTCTGGATCTGCTATTTGATGCTGTGTAATGTCCTGATACCATCAACTCTTGTATTCCCTCAAATAGTCAAAAAAAATAAATAAATAAAAGGCTTAAATAATATTTAATAGCATTGTTATTATTATTACAGAGTTGTCTCAAAGATCAGAAATGTTTTATTTAAAAATGTTTTATTT